CTAAAGAGCCTCTTGATGATGGTTGAAAGAGGAAAGTGAAAAAGCTGGCTTAAAAATCAACATTCAAAAAATAAAGATCATGGCATCCAGTCCCATCACTTCATGGCAAATAGATGGGGAAAAAATGGAAACAGTGACAGATACTATTTTCTTGGTCTCCAAAAATCACTGCAGATGGTGACTGCAGCCATGAAATTAAAAGATGCTTGCTCTTTGGAAGAAAATCTACGACAAACCTAGACAGCATATTAAAAAGCAGGAATATTACTTCACCAATGTATAGTCAAAGCTATGCTTTTTCCAGGAGTCAAGTACGGATATGAGAGTTGGACCATAAGGATGGCTGAGCACCAAAGAATTGATGTTTTGAACTGTACTGTTGGAGAAGACTCTTGAGAGTCCCTTGGACTGCAAGGAGGTCAAACCAGTCAATCCTAAAGGAAATCAGACCTGAATACTCATCGGGAGGACTGATGCTGAAGCTGAAGCTCCAATACTTTGGCCACCTGATGCAAGGATCCAACTCACTAAAAAAGACCCTGATGCTGGGAAAGACTGAAGGCAGGAGAAGAAGGGGATGACAGAAGATGAGGTGTTTGGATGGCGTCACCGACTCAACGGACATGAGTTTGAGCAAACTCCGGGAGATGGTGAAGGACAGGGAAGACTGGCGTGCTGCAGTCCATGGGGTCACAAAGAGTTGGACACGTCTGAGCAACTGAACAATAAATATAAATGAACACCAGATCATCACACTCAGATTATGAACATGCCCACTGTGTGGATCACAAAAAACTGTGGAAAATTGTTAAAGAGATGGGAATACCAGATCACCTGACCTGCCTCCTGAGAAATCTGTATGCAGGTCAAGAAGCAACAGTTAGCACTGGACATGGAACAACAGACTGGTTCAAATCGGGAAAGGAGNATTAATTTGCCAACAAAGGTCCATCTAGTCAAAGTTATGGTTTTTCCAGTAGTAATGTATGGATGTGAGAGTTGGACTACAAAGAAAGCTGAGGCCCAAAGAATTGATACTTTTGAACTTCGTGTTTGAGAAAACTCTTTAGAGTCCCTTGGGCTGCAAGGAGATCCAACCAGTCCATCCTAAGTGAAATCAGCCCTGAATATTCATTGGAGGGACTGATGCTGAAACTCTTGATACTTTGGTCACCTGATATGAAGAACTGACTCACTGGAAAAGACCCTGATGCTGGGAAAGATTGAGGGCCGGAGGAAATGGGGATGACAGTGGATGAGATGGCATCAGTGACTCAATGGACATGGGTTTGAGTAAGTTCTGGGAGTTGATGGACAGGGAGGCCTGGCTTGCTATAGTTCATGGGGTTGCAAAGAGTGGGATATGACTAAGCGACTGAACTGAACTGACAGTTTTCCAAGTTTCTGTCTGTGCAGGTTTTTTCTTTTGTATTAGATTAACTTGTCGTTAAGTTCAGAGGCATCACTAGAGCCCATCACACCAAGCTGAGGTGCACACGCTCAGGAAACACCAACCGGAAGTTCACCGACGCGCGTGGAACTCTGCGAGGGCCAAGCTGTATGCTATGTGTCGATCAGTTTTTGTAAATTTGAACTGTTTGAGAATAACATTTAATTAAAAATTTTAAGGACACAAACTTCACCTTCTTTGCAAAGGAAAAACTTGGGGAAAAGATCAAAGCAAAAAGAACAGAATTGAGATCAGAAATCCATTTTAAGTCAAAATGACAATGTCTTCTTAAGTTAATACTAATCGTTTAATTATAAATCTCAAAGGTTTAAGTAGTTTCTGTGACCTTAGCTTTGGAAAATTGTACCATATGGAGCTTTCCTTAAATTTGAAAAAGATGCTGGGTTGTTGCTCCAGGCCTTTTGGTGACTTCCGGCTGGCAGAATTCCAGTACGGTCCTTCGGATGCCATTAAAATTACAGACCAGGAGCCCGAGCCTGTAAGTACCACGCCAATTTCACAAGAGCTTTTTAAATTCGGTACAGTGTGCAAAATGTGTGATGTGTTCATAAATTTTAAGATATCAAATTGTGAAGCTTAAAGCCACTACTTATACTGGAGATTTCACAAAGGACCTGACAATACACTAAATATAAATAAAACTTTTGTGTTTCATAAAATCAAAGGACAAAATTAAAAGGCAAATACCAAAAATACTTGCCACAAAGAATTTTCTCATGCTAAACACGAAGTTCATATAAGGTGATCAGAACCATGTAAGGATATCAACCGCCGAGAAACAGACGAAGGACATGAACACACAACTCTCAGGAAAGGAAACATGACCAACGGATCTGTTATAAATATCCAGTCTCACTCTTAAATAGGAAATTAGAATCAATAAATGTTTCTCACCAACACCCTGCCCCCCCCAAATTAGAGTTCTAATACTAAGGACTGGCTATATGAAACAGATAGTCTGTGGGGAAAGATAAATTAGTACAATGTTGTTGAAAAGCAATTTGACACTGTAATTCAACTGGGATCTTAAACTAAGGGGGAAAATGGAAATGTTGACAAAATTTTTAGTATGAAGATGTTAATTTTTGCATCAATTTAGATAACAACTTTTAAAGTAAAATGTTTAAAAAAAATAGAAGAGTCTCGGCCTGGGCGTCGCACTGAGAGGCCCGCTCGCGCTGAGGCTCTGCCGACCGGAGAGGACAGGGGAGAGGGGACAGGGAGCCTTCCCGGGGCAGGGACCTGCGGGCAGGAGCGAGGGAGGTGTCCCCCAGGACCGGCCACAGTCCCTGTGGCTCAGTGGAAGTTGGCTCACAGCCGCATCGCAGCCGCAAGCATCAGGGCCCACGGTGCCCCCAGGCGGCTCCTCCTCCGCTCGAGCGTCTCCAGACGTTTTCAGCCTAAACCCCGACTCCTGCGCTCTGGGGACCACTCCTTCCCGCGGCGCCCCGTCCTCCCCGAGCACCCCCACCTTCCCCCACTGCCCCCTGCGGCCGCGCTCTGTTCACACCGCCGCCTGCAGCGCCCTGCCCACGGTCACAGCCATCCTCAGTTCCAAATCCTGGACCTTCCTCCCCGCTAGGCCTTCCAGATTTTCTGTCACATCCTTGATAAGCGTCCTTTCCAAACTGCCTCCTGCTATTTCTAGGAAAATACACTTTTCTCCTCTTTCTCTCTGTCTCCTCCCCGACTTCACCAGTCCTGCATGTCTGGTGGTTTGGGGTGTGACCCCCAGCCCCAGCGCTGCAAGCCCCGCTCTGTGCGGCCCTCCCGAGGGTCGTCTACAAACGCTCCTCCAATCCAAATTGCTGCTGGGCCTGAATGGAGGGCCCCCTCTGCCAGACCAGAGGACCCGACAGGCGCGCTCACGGAATGGCTGCCCTCTGGGCCGACTCAGACGCGCCTCCTCCGGCACGGTCGCCACCGTACTGCACCTCGAGGCGCCCTGGGGGCCCCTCCTGGACTGACCCCTCCGCTGCGCTGGTCATGCCAATGCTGACGGAAGAGCCTAACAGCCCCGTGGGTCCTGCCACTTCACGGCGAAGGAGCCCTGAGCACCCCCGGGGTTCAAGCTCGGAGCTAAGACCAGCACAGTGTGAGCTCGGCAGGCCTGCTGGTCAGGCCCCGCCAGAACCGCGCCGCCCGGGTCGCCTCCCAGCCCCCGACACGTCCATCAGGGTGCGGCTCCGCGCCTGCGCGCCCTAGCCCCGCGCCGCGGCGTCCAGGTGAATCTCAGCTGTCCCAGCGCGCCCCGGACGCCCTTAGAGCGCGCCTCCCGCCTCAGCCCGCCCTGCTCACTGCCCCCGCGTGTCCCGCAGCCGCCCTGCCCACCGGCTCCTCAGAGACAGGGTCTCTCGTTCTCGCCTTTCTGCGTGGTTCCCAAGTGCTGGGATGACGCCTCAGACACAGAAGATGTCCCAGAAATACTGGCCAAACTACTGGCGGTATCCAGTACTATTTTATTATCTATTACCTGTATATCCGTTAACAACACATATAAACCTGTACTTGAAAACTTTCCGCTCTTATTGAAAAGAACCCTTTAAAACGTGGACGCCTGACTGAAGAGAACGGAGGCCTCGGCTGCCTGTTCTAAGTCTGGCTTCACTATCTGGAGTTGAACCCTCGGGGCACACGGTGCCCAGGCCACTGAAGCCTGTGTCCTCAGAGACACTCTGCCCGGTGGGCAGCGGTGAGCGGCGGGGCGGGAGCGCTGTCCTCATCGCCCCCCTGGCTGAGGCCAGAGGCTGAGACAGCCCCGCAGCAGACGCCGCGGCCTGGACACTGTGCACTCTGCCTCAAAGCTCTGACTGCGCTGCTCTGGCGAGACGGCCACCTGCGACCCCGCTGGGTGCACAAAGGCCCCGCGGCCGGCCGTGTCCGGGAGGCTCCGACGCCCCCGCCTCTCAGCAGAGGGGACTGAGGCCGTGTGCCCACTGGCTCCAGCACCGCCCTGCAGCAGCTCAGGACGACCCGCTCACAGCGCCGCCTCTGTCCCCCGCCGCCCTGACACGTCTGAGCCTAAAGCAAACCCTGAGCCCCGCTGCGGACACCCGGGCCCCAAGGGGACGGGGCTGGTCACCACCCTCCGTGCCCCTGGCCACCCCAGCACGGTCACCTCCCGCCCGAGTTCCCGCAGTAGCTGAACTGGTCTCCCGGCGTCCAGCTCTGCCCTCAGCGGCCGTGCTCAGAGAACCGTCAGCGGGGACCCACCCCCGGCCTCCGATGCGCACAAGGGCAAAGCCCAGGCCTGTCCAGGGCCTCCACTCAACGCTGGGCCCACACACCCCCGCCCACTGTGATGCTCGACAGCACACGCGTCTTTGGTCACTTGGCAGGGGTGCTCCCGTCAGTCCCTGCCCGGGAGGCAGGGGCGAGGTGGGGAAGCCCGAGACGCGCACACCGCGCACCTGCAAGGCCTATAAACTGGGGGGACGGCTCCAGGCCGCGCCTGAGAGGCGGGCCCGGAAGCCAAGGCGGCGGCCTGGGCCTCGCGCGCCGGCCCGCCTCCCACTGCCCGGCTGCCTACCTTCTCCAGCGTCAGCTGCGCCTCGGCGGCGTGGGTCTTCTTCAGCTCGAGCCTCATCTTCTCCGACTCGGCCTTCAGCTTGCTCACCGCGGCCTCGTGGTCCCGCGTGGCCCTCTGCTTCTCCTCCTCCCGCAGAAGCCCCAGCTCCACCAGCTGCTGCTTCCGCTGCGAGTTCACGCTGACCAGCTCCTCTCTCAGCTTATGCACCTGCGCCTCCATGTCCGCGAGCACCTTGCGAGGGAAACGGCATAGGCTGTGACCGGGGTGTGGAAGGACGCGAGCCGCCAGAGGCCAGACAGACGCGCCCACCGCCCCTGCCTCCGCCTCCTGCTCCGGCCAGCCAGCCCCTCCTGGCTCCGATGGAAACGCCACCCGAAATGTTTTACCCCTGACAACGCATTTAGTTTTGTAATTTCAAATACCTTTGTAAATGGAATATTATTTGGTTCTTCTGTAACTTGCTTCTTCAAGTATTTGGCATTATGTTTCTGAGATTCCTCAGTACTTGGTACTCAATTTTTGTTTTTATTTCATTGATTTCTGCTCTTATTTTTGTTATGCCCTGCAGTCTACATTCTTGGAGCCTTTTTTATTCTAACTTCTTATCTTGGATATCTCACTCATTTATTTTTATCCTTCCTTCTTTCTTGACTTGTAAACTTAAGACTATAAATACTGCTCTACTACTGCATAAGTTCAACCTCTTAGATACACGGTATTCTCATTATCATTTAATTCAAAGCATTTTAAACTTTCATTTTTATGTTTTGAGTTATGACGTGTTTAAAAGTATGTTTCTTAATTCCCAAACACGTGGGCATACTAACTTCCCAGGGTTGTCACAACAAAGTATGAAAAAGTGAGTAGCTTTAGACAAGTTTACTCTCTCAAAGTTCTAGAGGCTACAGAATTATCAGGCTGGACTTATTAATTTAACATCTCTGTTCCATTCTCTCTCCACTCATTATGAACTCACACAGATGTAAATTAGATCTTCCTATTTTTTCATTTCATGAATTTCTCATATTTTCCATCTCTTTTCCTCTCACCTACATTCTAGGCATTTTCTGCATGTAATTAGATCTCAAATCCATACAGATTCTGAATTTCAGTTGTTTTGTTTTTATTTTTGGGAGTTTATTCTTATACAAATGTGTCTGGTGAGTTTTCAATGCCTTTAACTGCTTTAGTAAATAATTTCAAGTCCTTTAAAGTCTTTCACTTCACAGCACATACTAACCATGACTCCTCGATCTGCAGTTGATGAGTCCAGCATCTCCACTGTTGCTCAGAGTTTTTAAGACCCTGGGTTCATCATACTTTGCTTTTTGTCACACTGTGTTGTTACTCTTTTCAAACGCAGGCTCGTATCTGATGGGATTGGAGGTGTTTCTCCAGCCGCCATCTGACCCTGACAGACCCTGGCGATGTCGGCGTGTCTGGATGACTTCAGAGCAAGTTTTCAGCCTTGTATCCCAGGGTACGCTGAGGTGGGAGTTCAGGCATCGGATGTTCATGAGCACTGGCTTGTAGGCGTGGATTTTCAGGGGCACCTCACTCAACACTAAGGTTTTTTCTAGTTTACTAGTTTCTTTTTTTTTATATTGAAGTACAGTTGCTTTAAGGGCTTCCCCGATGACTCAGTGGGTAAAGGATCTACCTGCAATGCAGGAGACACAGGAGACCTGAGTTCGATCCTTGGGTCAGGAGGATCCCCTGGAGAAGGAAATGGCCACCCACTCCAGTATTCTTGCCTGGAAAACCCATGGATGGAGGAGCCCAGTGGGCTGCAGTCCATGGGTCACAGCGACAGTCGTTTTATAATGTTGTCGGGTTTCTGCTGCTCAGCAGAGGGAACATGTACATACATATACACATGTTTATATGATGGTGTTTGGTTGCTAAGTCGTGTCCAACTCTTTGCAACTCCATGGACTACAGCCTGTCAGGCTCCTTTGTCCATGGATTTCCCAGGCAAGAATGTTGGAGTGAGTTGCCATTTCCTACTCCAGGGGATCTTCCCGACCCAGGGATCAAACCTGCATCTCCTGCATTAGCAGGCGGATTCTTTACCACTAGTGGCTCAGACGGTAAGGCATCTGCCTACAATGTGGGAGACCCGGGTTCGATCCCTGGGTCGGGAAGATCCTCTGGAGAAGGAAATGGCAGCCCACTCCAGTACTCTTGCCTGGAAAATCCCACGGATGGAGGAGTGTGGTAGGCTACAGTCCACGGGGTCGCAAAGAGTTGGACACGACTGAGTGGCTTCACTTCACTTTCACTGGGGAGGCCCTATATACATGGCCCCTCTTCTTCAGATTTCTTTCCCACGAGCGCTGATCAGGGTTCCCAGTGCTGCGCAGCGGGCTCTCATCCGTTCTCTGTTTAATATGCGGTGGTGCTTACAGCCGACGCCGCTCTCCCGGTTCTCATCCGTTCTCCGTTTAATATGCGGTGGTGCTTGCAGCCGACGCCGCTCTCCCGGTTCTCATCCGTTCTCTGTTCAATACGCGGTGGTGCTTGCAGCCGACGCCGCTCTCCTGGTTCTCATCCGTTCTCCGTTTAAAACGCAGTGGTGCTTACAGCCGACGCCGCTCTCCCGGTTCTCATCCGTTCTCTGTTTAATACGCGGCGGTGCTTGCAGCCGACGCCGCTCTCCCGGTTCTCATCCGTTCTCTGTTCTCTGTTTAATACGCGGCGGTGCTTACAGCCGACGCCGCTCTCCTGGTTCTCATCCGTTCTCCGTTTAAAACGCAGTGGTGCACACAGCCGACGCCGCTCTCCCGGTTCTCATCTGTTCTCTGTTTAATACGCGGCGGTGCTTGCAGCCGACGCCGCTCTCCTGGTTCTCATCTGTTCTCTGTTTAATACGCAGTGGTGCGCACACGATGACGCCGCTCTCTCGGCTCATCCCCCTCCTGCTTCTTCCCTGCTTGATGACAGTTCTCCGGTTTCTGACTCATTGGCACCTGGTGGCGCTTTGGTGTCCCAGCCCGAGTCCCAGTGGCAGCCTAGATCATCACCTTAAGCAAACCCTGGACATTGTTTTACTCCTGTGCCCAATAAAAGTCCCCAAACTCAAGTTCAAGTTTACTTGGTTTTAGAAAAGGTCCTCAAGGGCGAGAGCTGTCTTCAGCACTCTGCTCACACTTCTGGGTTTCTGTTTTCATTTAAATGTTGACATCTGCACATCCTAACTAACTCAACCGCTTGTGAATACACACACACACACACACACACACACACACACTGTTCTTTAAAAAACTGTATCTGGCATTCCAAGTTGTTTTCACAGGGAAAGCAGAGCAAGGACCCTGGCATGCCCAGCTACCAGGTGACCGGCTGGTTCAGGCTGAGGGGACTTGGTGTTGCTGTGACTGTATGTGCATTAGCGAGAGCACAGCATTTTCTGAAACACAGTGGGAACTGTTCAAGGCACTGAACACTTCAACAGGCACCATATAACCCAACTATCGCCTGACTGGACACGCCTTCCAGGGCTGGGCATCATCATTCTGTATATTTTTATCAGTTGACTAGGTACATAATGGTAACTTAGAGGAAGGTGTTTTAAATTGCTGGCACCACTGGTAATGCACTGGCTTCAATCCAACGGTGATTTTTAAATAGAAAAACTATGCTGAAAAATGTATCAACTAATTATGGGAGAAATAAACATTAAGTGAAAGAACTCAATGCCGAAGGTGTCCCTCAGGTATTTAGTATTTCAGTCATTAGCATGTGCTGATAACTAGAGTGAGGAAACTGCCAAGATCAATCTAGAATAGATGTGTTCATTTTTCTTTAATATTATAAATAGTAAGCTATAAAACTTCACCTATGTGACTGACATAAAAGAGCAGAATTATTTTAAAAATTCAAAAATTACTAAAGGCTGTGTCTCTAAGAGACAAACCATAAGGACAACTTTTAGTTAACCTGACTCTTAAATAACAGTTCAAAAACATACAGACCAGAAAGCATGGAAGCAACCCCAATGTCCCTTGATGGATAAATGGATAAGCAAAGTGCGGTTTATACACACAGTGGGATATTATTCAGCCTTAGAGAGGAAGCAAAGTCTGCAATATGCTACAACGCGTATGGATCTTGAAGACATGATGCTAAGTGAAATAAGCCAGAAGACAAAGGCTGTGTGATTCTCCTTATGTGAGGTACTTAGAAGAGTCAAAACCACACAGATAGAGAGTATAAGGGGATTGTCAGGGCCTGTGGGTGAAGAAAGGAGAGCTGTTGTTTTAATGGAGACAGTTTCAGTTTTACAGGATGAAAAGAGTTATGTGATAGATGGTGATGATGGTCTCAATCAAGGTGAATGTACTTAGTATCACTGACCTGTACACCTAAACATGGTTAAGATGGCAAATTTTATATTATGTGTATTTTACCATGAGAAAAAATTAATTACAAAAACCCTCCAACAACACAGACCAGTTTCCTCAGAAAGATAATGGCTCTTGAAACCACACTGAATCTGAAAAGTTCTGGCAAAAGAAGTGGCAGGCTTATCATCATCTTATAAATGATTATGGATTGTCAGGACTATCATCCCAAACAAACATTTTAAATGCTCTTTATGAAAGAAAAATACATTAATATTTAAATTGAGGACATGTCCATAGTTAAGAAGCAATCATTTTGATTATTTTCAAAGTTGAAGAATTATTCTACAAGCACTTTTGGAATAACAACACATTAACAACTTATTGATACATGAAGTCACTTTCGTCCATTTCATAAGAGTTTATGGGCAATCCTCACCACAGACTGAGGTATTAATCTATAACTATACGTAAGTCAGTATTTATTAAGACTTCTGGTGTAGAAGCCACGGTGATAAGAGACCTCCAGAAGCATTTTGCCTAAAAGACTTTAGACTACAATACATAAGCTACACATACGCGTACATGCGCACACACACACACACACACACACACACACACACACACACAGCGTAACAGCCATAAGAGGTGACAAAGGGTCAAAGAGTTCAGAGAGAGAGCAGTTATGTGAGCGCAGAAGAATTCTGGAAAACTGAATAAAACCTAAGCATCTGAGACGGACCTTAAGAGAAAAGACAGTAGCATCTGGAGACAGAGGTAGATACGGGATGTTTCAGGCAGAAATAATGAGCCACAGGAAAAAGAGAAACAGAGCATTAAAAAGGAAGAGAGGAGACTCAGAAAAGAGGAATTTGATGCAGTTATTGA